AAGGTAACTCAGGAGCTAAGTGAGCAGTCAGCAGGCAGCTTAGGAGAATGTAGAGGAGGAGAAGGAAACTCGATGTTCCTGGGGGACGGGAGCAGCTTGGCACAGGGTAGGTGCTCAAGAAACATCTCAGGAGCGGAACTGAGCCACCCCTACCCTCCTACAGAGCAGCCGCATTTTCCTGATGGCCTGGATCCATCAGACAGGCTCCCAGAGAAACAAATTCTTCTGTCTTCTTTCTCTCTTTCATATCTTCCCTGTGAACCAAACCCCACACTTAGGTCTTGCGATCACAGGCTGCTTGCGGCTTGTTTGCAGAGGAGTTTTTAAACATTTAGAAATTTTAAAATATTTTGGTTTGGGGGAAACTTCACACCAAGATTCAAAGTTTCAGTTCCTCTGGAAAGACTGGAACATGTGGTAACTGAGGGCCCCCGTTCCCACTTGGCCTGGGACTGGGGAGCAGGTAAAGAACTTGTCTCCAGATCATTATGGTTCCTCCACTGCCGATGAACTCACGCCTGACCTGCTTCGCACAGGTACGCTGTCCGACGCCCGTGGGCACAGGCTCATGGCCCTGCTGTTCCAGCACCACTTTGCCCCCAGCAACCAGTCTGTTCGTGAGGACACGCCTCCTTTCATCAGTTTCCTGACCCAGACACACTCTGCGCCCTGAAGTTACACCTGGCGTATCCTAGGCCACCGTCCACAAACATGTGCAAAACACGAGTCACTGTGGCAGATATTATCTATCGATTCATGCTAGTTTCATTTTCAAAAGGGGATTCCGTTGCTAAATTTGTAATACTTTATGTATACTGACAACTCATCGGTTTTTCTAAGAGATCTAGTGGCTCTGAGCTCATAAGGAATTTTGCTTCTAGAGTAAGCGTAATTCAATTTTATTTCATAGATGAGCCATGGTAACGATCAATACATATTAGTAGCTAACTTTTATTGAGCCGTACTGTGTGCCAAGGACTAGACTAAGTAATCTCATTTAGTCCTCGCACAGCCTTTGGAGTTAGCACTTCTGTTATCCATCTTACAGGTGAAGAAACCGAGGCACCGAAAGCTGGGAAGTGAAGGGGCCAGAATTCAGACCTCGGCAGCCTGACCCTGAGCCTCCCCTCTTAACCTCTCGGAAGGCTCCTCTAAAGCAAAGTCCCTCCCTAGGTGCGGGAGTTTCATAGACAGCACCTGAAGTCTCATAGCAACTCTGGGGGCGTGGCGGGGGGGGGGGGGGCTGCTCACATAGCAACCTGGCCTCACATCGAAGTCACCTGAGGGGCTTCGAGAGCGTTCCGAAGCATGAAGCAAATATAATGAGTTAACATTTGGGGAAGCTAATGGAGGGGGAATGAGAAATCTCTGCCCTACTCTAGCAGTGTTTCCACAGGTCTGAAATTACGTCCAAGTTAAAAAATTAGAAGAAAAAAAGAGGGATAAAATAATATTAGTTGATTTGGGACAATTTTTACAGAAGTCATTGATAGCAAGAAGTGTTAACAGGATGTGTAATAGCAAGATCCAGAAAAGGGAGTGTGTGATCCCTATTTTGTAAAACAAATAATGACAAAACACACACATATCCTCCATCGCCTTATGGGAGGATGGAATAAAATGTGTGTGATACATTAAAAAAAGGTCTGGGGCCCAGTCTTTAATTGTTTAGGGTTTGAATGTGTGGGTACTTCTTCTAAAGTTCCTTAGATAAGGATTCTTAAAATTGCTTCTTGTTGGAATCATCTGGAAAGCTTTAAAATGTCTTGACACCCAGGGCACAGCCCAGATCAACTAAATCAGCCTCCCTGGGAGGGGAGCCAGGCAGGGTTGATTTAAAATTCCCCCAGCGGATTCCAATTGCTGCCACGTTTGGGGACCAGGCAGGGTGCTCGATGCAGCCAGGGCTGAGAATCACTTCTGGGAAGGAAGGGAACTTACGTGTGTAGCCCTCCTATGTGATAGGCATTTGATATCGATTTCAGTCCTGGGGACAGCCCATCATTTAGGAACCACGGCAGAAACAGAGGCTGGCTCCGGACACCGAGCAGCCTGCAAGAAGTCGGGGAGCGAGGACACGGCGATGGACATCTTGACCCACTGTCCTGCTTTAGGAAGACATCGTTGCCTCCCACTCCTTCTCAGGATCGCAGGGGGTGAAATTCCTCTGGTAGAGATTCATTCCTTTGGATTCCTCCTTCTCGGAGCTATTAAAAAATAAAAACAAAACAAAGCAAAACAAAGTAAAAACTTCTGGGAGAAATTACATGTTAATCGGGTCTCACCGTCTGCCCAGGGGGTGCTGGGTGTTCCAGACAAACAAGAAAGTTAGAGGAACGCTCAGACATGGGGAAAGAATGTGTGTAAGGGGTGTAAATCAGATCTTGTCATTTTTCTGCTCGCAGTCTCTCCGTTCACCAGCCTGACCCCAGGCTTACTTGAAACGCCAAGTGTTGTCCCACCTCTGGGCCTTTCCTGCCTGGTGGAACTTTCCTAGGTCCCTTCTCAAGATGGTTCGGGATGCTTCACTTTCCTGTGGAAGAGAGGCGTCCGCTCCTCAGTCCTCGGCCAGCAAAGGCCCTAGGGAAAAGGAGACAGGAGGGGTGTGCTTTGCCAACACTGCTAAGGTTGGGTGTTCGGGGCCTTTGAACTTAGGTGCGTGGCAGGAAAGCTGAACACCGTGTCCTTTGGGCTAAGGGAACCAGGTGGGCAGGAGGCTGAGTAGGAGTGAGCCCTCGGGCACGAGAGTCAGGAAACCAAGGCTGAAGTCCTGCCTGCCACTTTCCAATAGTAAAATGAGGGCCAGTATGACAACCTCCTTCTTAAGGTTGTGGTGAGCATCAAGCATCGTATACTTAAAGGGCCTACGTTGTACACGGCAGGCCCTCGGCACTGTCGGAGGGGCGGCATACCCACATTAGAGGTTACCACGTGCCCTCAGGGACCAGCCCCGGGATGAGCCATGCCCTGGCCTCTCCTCCTTCTTTTTAAAAATTTATTTCATTGTGGTAAGACCACAACATGAGATCTACCCTCTTAACACATTTTAAAGTGTACAATTGTAAGTACACGTTGTACAGCATAACTCTAGAACTTGTCTTACGTAATTGAGACTTCATGCCCATTGATTAACACCCACCCGAACCTCTTGGCAACCACTGTTCTACTCTTTGATTCTGAGTTTGACTTCTTATTAAATATTTCATGAAAGCAGAATCATGCAGTATTTGTCCTGTGACTGACTTATTTCACTTAGCATAACGTCCTCAAAGTTCATCCACGCTGTTCCGTATTGCAGTATTTTCTTCCTTTCTAAGGCTAACAATATCCCATTGTATGTATATACCACACTTTCTTTACCCACTCATCTGTCATGAACACAAGCTGTTCCCACATCTTGACTATTGTGAGGAGTGCTGCAAAGACTCCGTTCATAAGATTTGTTGAGTGCTTATTTACTCTATGCCACTAACTGCTTTAAATGCTTTCCATAGTCTAGGTGAAACTCGGAACAGCCCTATGAAGTAGATGCTATCTTTATCCCCATTTACAAATGAGGAAACTGAGGCCCCGTTAGTATGGCCCAAGGCCAGGCAGTTAAGATTATAAACTGGAGTTTGAACCCAGGCAACCTGGCTCTAAAAGCAGCGATCTTGATCACTACAACATCTATAGTGCTAAAGTCGTAATGACGACAATGATTGAGAACAAACTAAGCATCAGGCACTGGTACTGGCAAGGGGAAGATGAGACTTACGCATCCAAGTGATCTTGGGGATAGGATCTAGCATCAGCTAATTCTAGAAGTGACACACCTCTTAATGATTTTTGGGAGAGAGGTAGAGAAGGGGGGTTGTGGTTAAGAGCTGGGCAGAGTGGCCCAGGGGAAAATGATGTTCTGAGCTATAGTATATATCTCTGTGTGTTCCTTGGATTCATGCAGTTTTTCAAAGCCAGAACTTTTCCTATCACTGAGTCTGACACAAAGTCTATAACATTTTACTTATGGTTTCTTTTGTATTGTCCTTTTGTTGTATTTTGTGCTTCAAAGGGTCAGCTCAGGAGTCAAGGGAACAGCTCAGAGTTAGGTGTTTATGTTTTAAGGTCTTTTAAAAGCTGCTCATTGGGCTCCCCGCCTTCTTGACTATTTGATGTTGATCTAAATGAGGGAGCTTGTCTGTGCAGTTCGGTGGAGCTGCAAAAATGAACCACCAGCTCCCAAGTCAACTTGGTCACATTTGCTCTCTTTCTAGGTTAAACCTCCCGACAGGGCTCTCTGCAGTTATACCAGCACCAATGACCTCAGTGGACCTGAAAAACAACCGTCCGAGCCAAGGGCAGTCAGCAATAATGCTCTAAAGCATTTTATTTCGCAGTGGCAAACCAATCCACTTTTCCAGCCTCCTGCAACTTTATTGAACTCCGCATCCCGAAGGAGGACACGCCCCGAACTCTCCTTAAATGACATATTTGGCTCTTTGCAGTCGTGACTTGGCATTGCAGTCCTGATATCACAGACCAGGCCTATTGTGAGAAGGTTGCGGCTGCAGCGGCGGCAGCAGGAGCAGCAGCAGAAGAAGCAGTTTTCTCTCCCTACTAAGCGTTCATTACACGTTGGGCACTGCGCTAAGCTGGCCAATGTGATCCCCGGGAAGCGTCGGGTGCACCCTCCGTTCGGGGCGCTCGCAGCCATTGTGGTGTGGATGTTCGCCTAGCCGCGTGCTGACACGCCCTCTCCGCGCTGCGACCGGCGGGCTGGGAAGAGGAAGGTGCCTGGTGCGTGCTTGGAGGAGGAAGCTCCAGCCAGGTTGGGATCCCCGCTGCACCGCCCGCCGGCTCCTCTCTGCGGCCCGCGCCCCACACGCCTCCAGGGCACGCGCTCCCAGCCCCGCCCGCATGCGCGCGCTCTCCCCGCGCCCCCGCGGCGGACGCACGGCCACGAGCGCGCGTGCGCCTCTTGGAACGTCCCCGGGAGCCGAGCCAGACAGAGCGCCTGGGCCGGGAGCGCAGGAGTGAAAAGGAGGCGTCGGCAGCGGCTGCGAGCAACAGATCCGTCCGGGCGCTGAGAGCTAACCCGCTCCGCTGTTGGGCGATTTATTTTTGGTTTCCGAAAATTTTATTAATTTAGAAAACCTTGCATTTTTAAATGGCGCTGGCCCCGGGTCAGCGGGCGTTTTTCTCTGTTTCAAGATGGGCTTTGCCGTTTCCGTCTTGGGCACCAGTAGTGGTCTGATTGTCAGCCTTCTCCGGGCATTTTTAAGGCCAGGAGCCGAGCGCTGCATGTAGGAGAATCACCCTACGGAGCGTTTTGGCTTTTAAAATTATTGTTATTATTTTGGACAGAGAACAGTCGATCTCAGGCACTTAGTCCTCTCTGCAGGAGAGGCTGCGAGTCTGAGGTGGGTCGCTCGGAGGGTGAAATTCCTCCCGGGGTGAGCGAGCTACGGTCCCGCGCACAGTCCAGGCGGCCCAGAGTGTGTGTCCTGTCCCTGCCGGCGCCGGGAAAATGGAGGCTGTGATTGAGAAGGAATGCAGCGCGCTCGGAGGCCTCTTCCAGACCATCATCAGCGACATGAAGGTAGGTCTCCGGCCGCCGCGCGCTGACCTGGCCGCCGTGCTTCGCCTCCGCCCCGGGCCAGCCGCCCGGTCCTTGTCTGCGCTGTGGCCGGTAGCCACCTGCGGGAGCGCTGCGGCCCGGGTGTCACCTGCTCACCCTTTGCGCCGTTTCGTGCTCTGCTGGGTCACTGGGCGGGCGGCTTCTATGGAGGTGTTTATTGCCCCCTGCCCTCTCCCCGCTCATTGTCCCAGGGGGCGACCCACCCCCCCGCCTCGTTTTCCCGGAGGGCTCAGGGCCTCGGCTCCAAGTTTTCCATTGTCTGTTGCTGGACAGAGTGTGTTGCGACCCGCGTAGGCTGGATGCCTGGGCGGACACCTGATTCCCTGGGGTACTACGGGGAGGGGGCGCCTGGCGCGGTGGTGGGGGCTCTGCCCAGCCTCGGAAAGGAGCTCTTGGCCTAAGAGCCTAGTAGGGAAGCTTCCATTTCCCTCTTTGGCTTTCAGATCCACCTGGGGGGATCTGAGCAAATTAGGTATTAATTAGGCTGTTCCAAAGCTTGTGAGAGTGTGCGTGCCTTCCCTCGGCCCTCCCCCGGGGCGCGGAGCAGAAGTTCCCAGAGCAGCCTTGGAGGGGCCCCTCATTTCCCTAGCTGAGACTCCCAGCCTGAAGGCAAGATCGGGGTCCGACAAACAACTGTGTCTTTCCCCCTACGTACCCAGCACACACAGACTCCCGGTTTTTTCTTGAAAGGATTGTGAAAATTGTGTGTTTGTGCGCGCGTGTGTGCGCGCGCGCGCACGCACACGCGTGTGTTGGGGGCGGAGAACAACACCCTGGCTTTTTCCTGTGAAGGGTGGGACTGAGGATAACCTGATCCTTGGATGTGAATATACTGGTGCAGACAGACAGACCAGGGCTCCGTGTTACTCATCCAAAGGAAATATATTCAGCTTTGCGAGCTGGCTGGAGGTGGAATTTGGGGGCGGTGGGAGGATTTTTTTTTTCCATGTATATTTAGGGAGCTTCTCTTTGGCTCTAGCCCAGCCTCAGTTTGCCTCAACAGATCCGGGGAGGTGGTGTTTAATTAAAAGCTCAGCTTCCAAAAGGAGTGGGCAGGTTTGGAAGCTGTGCAGCGAGTGGGTGTGGACAGCCCCTCTTCAGCCGCTGCTTGGGTGCAGGGAGGAGCTTTTGTCTGATGAAGTGTAAGGTTTGGAGAGGATTTGGCCTTGGAGATAGACTTTGGGAAGGAATGTTCAGCTGTCACAGGCTGCTTCCCCCTTTTAGAACCAACTGCCACCTTGCCCAGGGTGAACTTTTCCAAAGGTGCCTCTGTCCTGGTCTTGTCTATTTTGAAATCCTTCTACAGAGCCTGTGCCTTTTGTTAGAAATTGACATTCGTGTAGCATTATCTTCAAAGATGCCCCTCTTGTCCAGGAATGCCTCTAATCCAGCCACTTGGAATTAGATTATTCCCTGTTCAAAGGCAGCCCCTTGCATTCCTCTGCCCCCAATCCACCACTGAAGCGCTCTTTCAAGACAAAGATTGGTTGCCTCCTTGGACTCTTAAGAGAGTATTTCTGGTTAGTTTAAATTCTACACGCCTTATAATCAGACAAGATTTGGTTTGAGGCACATTATTCTTATCACTGGGGGAAGAATTTGAGGTGGGTTGGTAAAGTTGAACCCAGTGACCTAGTAGATCTGCCCGCTGCAGTCCCAGAGTGTTTGCATCCGGAGTTCTTTCTCTTTGTTCCTTAATCCAGAATCTCGGCTTGGTTCTTCCCATTTACCGGTTTGAGCCCAAAGCCCTTCTGAAGGTAACCCAGCAGAGGGCGGGCCCTTCTGCTTTCCACCTGCCGGCCCATGGCTGCCCTGCGGCATTGTGGCCCTGGGGGATCTGTGGGGCTGAGTTGGCAAGCTTTTTCCCTCCGCAAGATTCCAGTTCAAGATAAAGGCTTATTTAGTGCCTCTTCCGTGCTAGATCTATAGTTTGTGGTTCCTGAGTTCTTTCCCTTTCAATGTAGTAGCATTTGTTCAGCATTCTGTGGGAAGACACTTATTTTAAAGGTTTTTGTTTGTTTTGTTTTGGCAGTCAAAGATTTTTAAAGGGAAGCAGAGTGGAAGACTTAAATATATGCCTCGGGTCTGCGGAATTTCCGACTTCTGGGGAGTAGAGAGATAAGGAAAAGGGGGGGGGGTCTGATTTCCAGGATTGTTTATTCATCAGACAGTTGCTGAATATTTTCAGAGTTTTCTTCTTAAAAGAATTCTTCATGGGTTAGATAGTGACATTTTAAAAGGGACTTTTAAAATTTGGGCATATAGGATAAGCAATGTCTAGTATGCATATGCATGAAGTTGCCAGCAATTAAAGTCAGTTTTTAATATCTGCAATCAGCTGATTTTCTAATGACCTGCTTATCTGCTTTTTTCTCTTCTTTGAACTCCCATGATGGGTTTGTAAAGCCTTTGGTCCTCTTTCCGTTTGCTTTGAAGGACAAGTGTAAATGTTGGAAACCCATTTGGAATGCCACCTTGTGGAAATTTTTAGGTTATTTTCTAGGAAGTGTTGTTGGACACGGGTGAGTAAAGGTAAGGAAAATGGCTTTTCTAGTAGCATTTGATTCTCCAAAATGAACAGTAGCACAGGAAAGGGTCCCTTTCCTCTTTGGAGGACAACACACACACACACACACACACACACGCACACGCACACGAAACGGAGTAACGTCAAGGCCTGCTGGCATCCATCTTCCGAAGCCAAAGAACCTCAAGACATCGAAAAGCTAGATAGGATTCTTTCTGCTTCCTTGGAACGATCCTTCATCTGGTTAAGTCCTCTGCTGTCAGGATGTGCATTTCATCCTTTTCGGGGGAGAGAGGGGTGTAGAGGCAGCCCTCACTTTTCTCCCAGCGGGATGCAGCTGTTAAATAACTTATTGATTCCTTGACGAGAGGAAACCTTGTGTTTTTCCCCTTCCTTCCACCCCACTGTGGTGGTGGTCAGTAATGAATGGTGGTGTGCAAAATCGCTTACCGGCTGCCTTTCCGCCCATCCACATAAATCAAGTCATCTGGCGTGAGTTGATCCCAAAGGAGAAAGGGGAGGCCAGAGATTCATGTGGCTGGAGGCGAGGGCCCATCGCCTGCTTGCCTCGGGGAGCAGCAGGCTGGAAGCGAGTGTGTGTGGGAAGTCAGCTGACTGACCTCTGATGTTTAGGTGCTGCTGGCTGCACTAAGGGGGCCCTGGGGTCTTTTTGAAGTTTCCGTCCAAGTCCTGGGAAGAGACAGGCTAACGGTTGCCAACAGCTGATGATACTTTTTTTGAATTGCGATAGAATTGACAAAGAACTTTATATCACTTTCAGGTGCACACCGTACTGATTGGATGTTTGTATTTGTTGAATTGAGTATTTTTTCAAAATGTAAATACTTGAATCAGCAGAGAAATCGGTGATGATTGGGGGAGCTCTCAGGCCCCGGAGACACCTGCCAAACTTGGGGGCAGCTCACCCTTTGGCTGCCTTTCTTCTTTTAATAATTAACTTTGTTTAAAAAAAACACTTGGATGCTAAAATCAAATATTTTTCTTAGCCTTGTTGCTCAAGAATCAGCATGTTGAGAGCAGAATTGGGCCTGATGTGGGAGAACTTAGTACTAGGTCGGAGAGTGTGTTTGGGGTTATATAATGTGACTGGGAGTGAAAAAAAACACCCAACCACACCTTGAATTCCCCACCCCAGGTCTCACTTAGCGGTGTCCTGTTACCAGCACCTGCGCTGAGCAGAATAGGGGCCTTGTTCAGTTCCCCTCCGCTGCCTCCACCTCTGTTTGCCGCCAGTATCCTCTCGCCTAAGTTCTGCCTAAAATTAGAACTGCTAAAGGGGCTTCTTGAATTCCATGGAAATCTTTTTGTGGTTCAAAGGCACGTCATGATATTTTCCCTCACTTATCATTAGATCAAGAATGTGGGTAGTGGGTCCAACGCTGGATAATGATTTCAGGGTTGTTTTTTCCTCCCAGCTTCTTTGGGTTCCTATCAGAAGAAACGTTTACTTTCTCAGTGTTCATCGAGGGCCTGCTGTGCGGAAGCCTTTTGCTGGGCCCCCGGGAGCCAATGATCCACAGGGCCTGCCCTGGGAGAGGTGCTTGACCTGTGGGCCGTTAGGAGCGGACATTAGATCCAGTGTGGTGGCCGCAAAAGGCTTGGAGTCCAGTCGGGGGAAGGGCATTGGTTGGAAGTCCCTGCAGGACTTCCGAGGACTCTTCACCAAAAATATTTTCTTTAGGAAGATATTGAGAACCCAGCCAAGGCCTCGGCCAGTGGCCTGGTGCTCTGAGAGGTGGGCCGCTCTGTAAATGGTGACCCACAAACGCAGGACAAGCAAAGCCCTTGTAAAGCACACATGGGCCCTATGTTGGCTTTCCCTTAGCTAATGTCTGTGCTTGTCCAGGGTTTTACAGCTTCCTCAGTTTGAAGAAAAGATGTCATAAAATCCACAGCAAGGAACTGCCCGGAATGGGTGCCTGTTCAGAGATTTAGGGCCTATTCTATGTAGATCGATCTTTTTGGCTTTTAAGACACAAATCTTGTTGTCCAGGTTTGGAAGGAAATCGTTTTTTTGATCTTGGCTTGAGTGTTTCTGTGGAAAAAATCCCTCGTACATCATATTTAACCAAATAGTTTAGAATTGAGTTGCTCTGTGTTCTGAAATTCCTCAGTCAGTAATGCCCCAAATGCAGAAAGGTCAGTCCTAGGTCATCGTTTGTATGGAAGGTAAGCTGAATTTGAATTTTGCCTGAACTGAGCTGTCACTCAGTTCTTAAGTGAGGATCATGTACCCCAAATTCTGTAGTATTTATTAAGCATCAGTAGAGCTGCAAGTAGCAAGTTCCATGCTATGATTTCAGCAAGTAAAGATACAGAATTCCCAGTTAACATTTGAATTTCAGATCAATATTGAACAGTTTTTAGTATAAGTATGTCCCACGCATATTATGTCTTCTCAGCTGCTGACCTC